CCCCGACCTCGATTGTGTATATATATATGTAGAGTCCTGATCTCTTGCTCCCCATAGAGTAAGAAAAATAATCCACACTTTTTATATAGACCGTTAGATTAAATCTAACGGTCATTTTACAAACCCACTTATGGCCTTTCCTTTTAAACCAAAACCACTCTCACACTATTTTTAGTTTCTATAATTAATTTTACCATTACCACCTACTCTAACAATAAAAGGTAATTATCAAATTAAAAATAGAAAGCTTTGAAAAAAAATTAATACCGTATATTTTACTAATAAATTTGTTTTTATAAATATCTTTTGGCTTTCACCTCTATTTTTCACGATTATGTCAAACAAACAAAGAAGAATTACAAGAGAATTGATAGGGATTAGGCGGTAATCGCAGGCTAAGGTACTATACAATTTTTCTGTTTCCTCTTCTTTATTTATTTTGTTTTGAAAAAGTAAATTTGTTTTCCCTTTAAATCTTTAAGTTCTGTGTGGTTCCTTATTCAAATTACTATTCTTCAGCCTCCTTTGCCCAGTTTTATAAATCACTAATTCAATACATAAAGTAAAAATCTTGTTTCATTAATTTTAATTGATTCAAATATATTACTAATCCACATTTTGTATTACTAAATGTGTTCAAGAATGATTGTTACATAGGACTGTCCATTAATTTAATTTATAGAACTATGTCTTAATTAATTTTAGTTGATTAATGCATTGTGTTTTATTCAAATATAACAATATTTAAATTCCATATTTCTTTTTAGGAATGAATGAAGTAGAAGAATTTGGAATAACACAAAAAGATGGAACATTCATTCCACAAGTTACTTATGAAAGAAAACCAAAAGAAGGGCAACAGTTTAAATCTTTAGATGATGCTTATGATTTTTATAACAAGTATGCACGAGAAGCTGGTTTCAGTGTACGGATTGATAAGAGTAAGAAGCATAAAGAAACTGGTGAAACGATTTGGAAACAATATGTTTGTTATAAAGAAGGAGAAACAGATGAAACTTATAGAAGAACAAAGAAAAAAGAAAAGCAGATGGTGGAGACCATTGGAGATAGTGGTAAGAAATTAGAAAGACAACGAGGAAATGTACGCGAAGGTTGTAAAGCAAGGTTAAGTGTAGGAAGACGTGACGGGAATTATACAATCAGACAATTCATTGAGAGCCACAATCATCCTCTTGCAACTCCAAGAAAAATACACTTATTGAGGTCACATCGAAATGTTTCAAATGTGAAGAAACAACTGGCTCAACAATTTGCAAGTGTAAATGTGCCTACGTGTCAACAATTTGATATCTTAGAGACGCAAGTAGGGGGTATTGAAAATGTTGGGTGTACAGAAAGAGATCTTCGAAATTATGAACGAGATATGAGGGAGAAGTTTAAAGGTCACGATGCAAATATGTTGAATGAATATTTCTTATCAAAACAAGAAAAGGATCCAAATTTTGTTTTTCAAATTGACAAAGATGAGGATGATAGAATGACTAGGTGTTTTTGGGTTGACTTCAGTGCAAGGAGAGCATACAATTTTTTTAATGATGTGGTTGTGTTTGACACAACATACAACACTAACCGTTATGGGATGATATTTGCTCCACTTACAGGGGTTAACCACCATGGAAAAACAATTATTTTTGGATGTGCCTTTTTAAATGACGAGACCACTGAGTCTTTCATTTGGCTATTTAAGACTTGGCTTAATGCAATGCCAAAGGGTCCTCCAAAAGTTATTATTACTGACCAGGATCCTGCAATGACAAAGGCTATAGCTCAATTTCTTCCAGACACATTTCATCGATATTGTATTTGGCACATCTCAAAAAAATTTGTAGAAAAATTGGACTCAGTTGTATTTCGAGATTACTATGACCTTTTTAAATCATCTTTATGGAATTCAGATACAATAGAAGAGTTTGAAGAAAGTTGGAACCACGCGCTTGAAAAAAGTAAACAACAAAATAATGAATGGTTAAGAACAATGTATACATTGCGTCATAAGTGGGTTCCAGCATTTACCAATAAATTCTTCTCTGCTGGTATGACAAGCAGTCAAAGAGCTGAAAGTTCCCATGCATTATTCAAGAGGTATTGCTGTAAGGACAATTCTTTAATGGATTTTATTATAGGATTTAACAGGGCAGTTGGACATCTACGACATGAAGAGGTGATTGATGATCATGCTGATATTAATGAACAGCCAAACTTGAAATCCATGGTGCCTATGGAGAAGCAAATGATGGGTATGTTTACAAAGGAATACTTTCATAAATTTCAGAAAGAGCTTTATGCTAGTAATGCTTATGTATTAAATATTATATTGGATGATGAAAGTCAATGTGTTTATGAGGTCAATAGGGTGCTTTATGGAGATCTTAAAGTTCGACAACTTGTGCACGATAAGCTAATTGATAATGTCAAGTGCAATTGTCAACGTTTTGAATTTGAAGGCATCCCATGCAAGCATATTCTAGCATTTTTTAGAATAAAGCAAGTTGTATTTTTGCCAGAGCAATATATTAAGAATAGATGGACAAAGTTTGCAAGAGTTGGAAGCATTACTGGTAAAGATGGTTTAGAGATTAAAGATGCACAAGATAAGTCGGTTTTAGTGAGACGTACTAAGGTATCTCAACTTGCATCAGCTGTAATTGATGAAGCTGCATTCTCAGAAGAAGGTACGGAACTGTTAATAAACACGCTGGACACATTTCATGAACAACTGAAAGCCATGAATGCAAGTAAAATTGGAGGAAAAAATGCTTCATCATTAGAAAAGCAATATGACATTCATCTACAACAAACCTTTAATGATCCTCTTCAAGTTAGAGCAAAAGGATGCGGTAAACGTTTGAGGTCATGGAGAGAGACTAAAAAGACAAATCGTAGACGTTGTCGTGGTTGTGGAGAACTTGGACAGTCACATGACAAAAGAAATTGTCCAACGCTTATTAACAAGTGAGCATTATCTCATGCTTATTATTATTACTTAATTATGAAATTAATTAGTGTTTCACATGCATTTTTTTTCTCTGTTTCAGGTCTACTATAAACAGTGAGGAGAATATTTCTTATGGGTCAGAACATATGGATGATGGATGTAATTGAATGTGTTCAAGGTTTGAATTTGAACTTTTTTCATTATTTTGTAAATTTTTTTATTTGCTTTATTGGCAATAATAATTCCGTTTATTTCATCTAAGTCAATATATATATGCTTAATTATTAATTTGTTGTTGAATTTTTTTTTTTATTCAGGTTTACACGAAGTGGAGAGATATTTCATTAAATTTGAAAATATGAGGAAGAGCAAACAGATGGACTGGAGTTTCTAGGTTTTGAGGCCTAAATGTCTATTATTTGGCTTTACTTTTATTTGTCATGGAAGAGTTTACTTTAAGACTTTGGGGATTAAATGTTTTTAAATTTTGTTAAGTTTCAGCCCTTTATGAAGAGATTAAAATTTTTGTTTTTGTTTTATTTAGTTTAACCTTTAACAATTTTGAATAAAACCAATGTCATCTTATTCCATTATTCAGTTGTATAATATTGTTATTCACACGCACAAATAACTATAACATAGTCCGTACATCATCATCATTCAATAATCAAACTCACATATTGAATAATGAATTTCACCAAATGTCTATCTTCAAATTGAATAGAAAGAACTTTTATTCAAATTTTAAATGAAATTTTCTTAAATTTCAATTCCAATTAATCAATTCATGCTCCAAAATACAACATTGCAGTATATTTGCAGTAAAGATGTTTCTTAGTAAAATATACGGGTATTAATTTTTTTTCAAAGCTTTCTATTTTTAATTTGATAATTACCTTTTATTGTTAGAGTAGGTGGTAATGGTAAAATTAATTATAGAAACTAAAAATAGTGTGAGAGTGGTTTTGGTTTAAAAGGAAAGGCCATAAGTGGGTTTGTAAAATGACTGTTAGATTTAATCTAACGGTCTATATAAAAAGTGTGGATTATTTTTCTTGCTCCATGGGGAGCAAGAGATCAGGACTCTCTATATATATAACGTATATATTTAATTTAAGTGTCTATTAATATATTTTGACTAAATATTCGTTAGAATCACTACTTACTAAAATTTTACAATTGTGCACGTGATTAAATCTTCAAAGATTCAAGATCTCAGTATTTTATTCCAAGTCCAAGAATTAATTCAACAGTTTCAACTTTACCGCAATTAAACGGAGTATGCGGGACGGAGTCGGTATTTTGTCTATCGGAGTAGGGGCGGGGATGGCATACCAATTATAAACCTGTCCCGAAGTTGGTATGATGAATATTTTAATGGGGCGGAGTAGGGTTTAGCCAACTCCACCCCAACTTCGCCCCGTTGCCATCCCTAAGTATTGGTTGCTTTTTGGCATATACTTCCTGGTTTAACTTGGCACCAGTTTGGGTGGGACGTTTTTTGGCAAATTACATTTAGAATAAATTTATAATTAGGTTAGAAGAAATGTGAGTAATTTTTAAAAATTATTTTTTTAAAAGTTATTAAGGCTATTTTAAAAGATAAGGAACTTGAGCCGGGACTTTTTCTTTAAAAGGTGTGGAAGTAGAGTGATTCGAATATAAACTTAGTTAAATTTTAATTTTAATTTTAATTTTTTATTTTTTTACAATTTATTTATTTATCTATCTTAGCAGTATATTTTTTTTCTTTGTGGGTAATTTCTTTTTGTGGGGATATATAAAAGTTCTTAAGGCCATCTTCAATTTTAAAAGATAAGGAACTTGAACACGGACTTTTTCTTTAAAAGGTGTGGAAATATAAATTTAGTTAAAAATTTTAATTTTAATTTTAATTTTTTTTTACAATTTATTTATTTATCTTTTATATATATATATATATATATATATATATATTGTGGGTAATTTCTTTCTTAGCAGCATATGCCGCTGGTCCCAAGAAGCACGCGGCGTGGCTAAAAGAAACCGACATATCGATGTGGGACCGTGGAACTGAAAACCCAAGCCAATCCGGAAAAAAGAGAAGTCTCTCGGAGCCTTCATAGACAAACATTTTCGGAGAAAGTCTGCGACTTCAGTTTCTCCGTTGTCTCGTCGTCGATGCACCATGTTTCAGGTAACACAGCGTCTTTTGCTATTTGGGTTCTCTTCTTTCCTGCCAATTTTCTTGAATTGATTTTAATGGCTTCTGTGCTGTATTCGTGTAAACAGAACTAAAAATTGCAAACGTATGACTAATTAGTGAGTTTTCTTTATGCGTGATGCACTGCAGATACTTTTGCATATATATATATGTATATATATGCCTCTTATGTATTTGAATTTATGTATGTTCTTTTTTCTTTCTTTATTTTCTTTCTAAACCACAAATTTAAAGAATTTTAGTGCTTCTAGGGTTTCCGAAAAGGTGCCATTTTTGGTCTGTGAACTGGGACGATTGTGGTTGATATTAGCCTATAGGATCATCTGGTGAAAGAAATTACTTTTACCTCCATCCAATAGTAAATGCCACCCCCTTGAATTTACAAAATTAATCCAACGAAATGTTTAAAATTAATCCAACGAAATTTAAACATTTACTTTATTGATTTGGAAAGGTTTTCAAAGCTTAAGAACAATTTGGAGAATTTGAAATTTAGAACATCTCAAAAAGGATAGTGGACACTTATCCCGGGGCATTCTTAGGAAAAAAAAAAGGCAGCGACACTTATTATGGGATGGAATGAGTACTTATTAAGTTGAACCGGGGACCAAAACACCTAAGATATGGCCTTTGCAAATATAAATTTATACTGCTAGCTAATCCATGATCACACCATTGGTGATTTAGGATCATTTTGGATTTTGGTCATTTCCGACATAGGTGTTTTATCTGGCAAACCTTTAGCACACAAACCTTTTTATGTCCAGAATTTTTGGGTTCATTGCTTGTTGCAAGTTATAGTTGGTAAACAAATTTTAAAAAAAGGGCTAGCCCAGTGCACGAGGCTCCCGCCACTGCAGGGTTTGGGGAGGGTTTGATGTATTCAGCCTTACCTCCACTTGGAGAGAAGGGAAACATGCATTGTTTAGTTGATTTAATATTGTTGTAAGCTTTGTTTCTATGCCTTGAAAGATTATTCTTTATTAAATTTTTCACGAGACTAGAGTTTGGACAAAGGATATTCTAGGAGTTAGGTCCATGAATGGATACGACAGATGGAAGTAAGTTATACTAAATACTTGACATATTACTTTGCTAAGATCAGCTCACTTCAACATGACCTTAACCCAACTATTTAGGGTAGGTTAACATTTTTTCCTTTTTAGCTTTATTAAGAAATAAGAATAAATACAGTTAAATCCTAAATCATGATCATCATATCTGCTTTCATTCCATTGCTTTGATCAGCCAATATTTTTCCCATGCATGTGTGGGTAAACACCATCTAGGTTTAGTTTTTGTCTTTAAATGCTTGTATGAAGAAATTTACAAATTCTGATTTATCTCTTCTTAATTTATGTGGTGCATGCATACTTGTAAAAAAAATGCAGTACTAGCACATTCTGTTTATGCTACCATAGTATGGGTATTGCATAACACAGATACATAATGTACTCTAGAACGATAAGCAATTTTTTTCCCCACTAATAGTTCTTACTTCTCATGCTGGCTAACATATTTACTTTACTGTATCAGGTTTTGACGATGCGTGGCTGTCAATTTATTTGGTCCATATATTAATTTTTGTTTGCAGTCCAAAGGTTGACTATCATTAAGTAGCATTGTCATCTTATGCTACCAGTGACTTTTTATTACTTATTTAGTTTTGTCCAATGGTGGCTGTTGCTGGTTCTTTCCATTTGTCCCATGAATTGGGAATTCACAAGAAATATGTATGCAATAAACAATATCGGGTATGGAAAGTATTTCACCTCAATGTTTTTTGAACATTTTCAGTTTTTTTTTAATCATCCCTATGCTTACGGAAAGGGTTATTTATTTATTTATTTATTTATTTTTTACATTTTCAGCATTTTTCTATCATCCTTATGCTTAATAATTTATATTTTTGTTTGCAGAATGTTATAGGAAGTCATAACTTACGGTTATTGGGCACCAATCTTTCATCACTTGCACTGGTATGGTTCTCTTTTGTTTGAAATTTAGGTATCTATACACTTTACTTCATTAATAGTTTGTAATTCTCTTCTGTTGTGACTTAAGCTTGTTAATGACTTTTGTTCTTGACACTGCATATATAATAACTTCATTGAGAATTCATAAAAAATTGTATGTATGGTTAGCTGTATAACGTCTCATAAACTTCATGTCTTGGTTAAGGTTTTGTCACATTCTTGTTTCAAATTAGTGTTCAGTGAGTTGGTAAGACTCAAATAGGTTATGTATGATTACATGAAATATTACTTGTAGAAATTTTGGGATTTATGCTTGGTATAGATGTTCTCGATCTCATTCTTATTTGAATTGATTGTATTCTATAGTGATTTTCAAGTGTCAACAAAGTCATTAGTGGCCTAAAATCTTTTAGCCTTCAAATGGATTTCAGTTGTGTATGAACTAACGGATGATGAAAGCTTTTTTCCCTTAGTTTCCCCACTTGGAGTAAACTTTTTAGATATTGCTTTCTTACTGTTATGTATGGCAGGACTTCAGGCATCTTTAATTGTATCCATAAATAACACCTTACCCTATCTACCAAAAGGAAAAAAGAAAAAAAAAAAAAATATACCATTTGTTTGGATAAATGAACCCTTTGTAATCACTCTACTTGTCATGAGAGTGTTCAGAAAGTATAAATATGATGGTATTTTTTTTTTTTTTTTTTCCCTATTTGGGTAGTAAATTTATACTATTTTTTTTTTTTGGGCATCCTTAATAAGGTTGCTTGCCACAATTCTAATTATGTTATTTCTGTGTTTCTGAAAGTTCGAGACGTTTTGTTTTTATAATGAAAAATATACCTTGAAATATAGTTTTACTTACATTTGCAGCGGCGAGATTCCTGGAGTTTCCATCTTTCAGGAAGAGTATACAGCCCAGTTTGCTCTGTACCTTATAGGTATAGCCCGTTTAAGTGCAATTCATTTCTAAATCTGGGCCAAGGCTTTGAAATTTCTTGTATGAAGAATGCTGCTATAACTTTGACAAGGTAATTTTTTCTTTCTTTTGATTAACTTGGATACACATGCATCTGCATGCATTCTTTCTAAATGAGGAAATGCATATGTTTGTTTTTATTCTATTGGATGCACGCACATGCATGTATATATGAACCTATCTAAATCCATCTTTTACCCCCAGTAGGTGTAACGCAACCTTTTGTTTTAGCAAGAAAATGTTGATCTACAGATGTGTTTTATTGCACATATGTTTACTTATCAATGCAAGTTTAATTATATGGTTAATACTTTTAGCGGTGAATTTTTAGGTGTATACCTAGCATGTACATGGGATTTGGCCCTTTTTTCTTTAAGATTCTTGTTAGATGTATGTTATTTATCACGAAATGTACTTTTGCTCAACAGTAGCTGAAGAGAAATAATAGCATGTCAAATTGTAGGTAAAATATTTGATGTTAAAGATATAGAGGTTAAGACAGTAGTTGCTGAGTACTATATGAACTTGCACTAGGAGAAGAGAAATGGGAGATCGAAGATCAATTTTCAGTGTCCACATTATGGTTATAGATCGTGTGATCTTTAGAATTGGAAGAAGAAAAATAGATTCCTAATCAACTACTAAGAAAGGCTATTTTTTTGGCCAAATGAGGTACTAGGGTTGGGTTTGTAGGGGCTTGATGTTTTATTATTTTTTGTATTAATTTTTCTCCCCAGAAGGTTTTTATTAGTTAGTTTTTGCTTCTTCTTTGGTATAGATCTTTCAATCTTTAATTAATAGGGTCACTTATTTTTATGAGAGAATTATTGTTGTTAATTTATGCATGTCATAAGTTGGAATGAATCAAAGCAGTAAGAAAATTTCATAAGAAAATAGATGAATTAGTTATAATAGAATTACATGCGGAGAGATGTTTATATCAACTTGCTCAAATGAGTTTGTACTGAAAGATGGAGAACTTGAACAAATAAATAATAGAGAGAGTTTGCATCACTGACTTACTATGAGAATGACCTTTTCAAGTTGCTAACTTACTACGAGCTTGAGGTTTTTAATACCTTTAAAAGTGAAGATGATCTCTAGTGTCAATTCCAAGGAAATGTAGCTAAGCAGCATGAGTTTTTGATTTTAGGTTCAAATTCAAGTGACAGGAATAGGCCTAACGTTTGGTATTATTTGCAAAAGTTGTTTCCTCTCACTCCAATACCTGTTCTCACATTTGTCAGTCTGTGCTTTACCATTGCACTAAGTAATGATCCCGAGGTCCTAAGTAAGGGAAGTGGGTGAGAATATACAATATTGCTTGAAGTATTTGGGCTTTGACTGCTGTTAGTGCAAATATGATCTGCGGAACCTGGAAATGGGCCAACAAATTGGATTGTTGTTTATATAAATACTTTAAAAGGAGAAAGAAAAAAAGTAAAGAAAGAATGGAAAGAGCATGGGTCCTATAAATGACCTGTACAATTGCATAGGTATAAGTAATTGTGAAGATGTCTACGTACCATTTATAATATGGCATTGTTGAAATTAAAATTGAATCAGTACTCACTATTGGTTAAAATCTTATACATGTTGGGGAAAAAACAAAAGTTCAAAAGAAACAAAAGATAAGACAACCTTGTGTAAGGATGACATTGTTGGGGACGTTGAAGGGGTTAATTGAAGGTTAAAGAATACCATTTAAGGGGCTTAGGAGAAGATTAGTTGGTGAATCAAGGGAATCAGGGGGGTATGCAAATGCCCAGAGAACAAAAACTAAAGGAGTAGTTCTACTGAAAGCTTTGGAAAAGACAAAAAAGTTAAAGTTTTTTTTGGGTCGATGGTTTCCAAGTAATAGTTTGAAATATATTTAAAAAAAGAAAAAAAAAATGCCTAGGATAAATTACCTTAATATTTCCATAAAAAATTCCGAGGATTAATTACCTTAATATTCCATAAACTTGTTCGAACAAGGAGAGTTCTGGAAACACAGTAGAAATACTCACAGGTGAAGGCATTGGAATGTAGAAATTGCAATAATCATTATCTTTTGTATGAGTCACACCAAAATCTTTTGGAGGAGAGCAATTGAGTCAAGGTCAATATTCACTTAAATTGAGGGATTAAAATGACATCTTAATATTAAATTAAAGAAGCATAATTGAAAATTGATTTGAATTATTGGTTTCTTGTTGATGTAATAAGAGATCTTAAGAGTGGATATGCAAGATTTCAAGTAGTTAAAATTTCAATTGATAGTCTCATCCATAATTGATGTCATTGTTGGCTCAATATTTATACACAGTGCTCAACTTTTAGTAATTAAAAGACAGATATTTACCAACTGAGCTAAGATGTAGTTGTTCCGGGATATTGGAAAGTGTATAATGGAGCTTTCTGATATTAAAAAAAAAAATCGTCATTGATATGCCTTGGCTAAAGCTAACTGTTAGTGACAACATTACCTACCTATAGATCTCTTATCATTGTTAAATTGTGCCACTTTTAACAGCTAATATACGTATTCTACGCACCGTTTCATTAACTTGCACTTACAGAAAAATCTTATAATATGCAGGTCGTACAATACTTTACAAGGTAGTCCTCTAGTTCTTAAGTTAATTCCAGCGCTTGCTATTGTTGTTTTTGCTGTATGGGGGCTTGGGCCACTAATGCGTCAAAGCAGAAATATATTCTTCCATGTATGTGCTTCCTTACTTTTTAATTTCCTTATACTTCAGTGTCTTTTATGGTATTTGTTTATGATTGCCTTGGATTCACTTTTTATAATTAGTTTTATATCTCAAAATATCCTGCAGAAGAGTGATTCTAGCTGGAAAAAGAGTAGAACTTATTATGTAATGACCTCTTATCTTCAACCTTTGCTGCTATGGACTGGAGCAACACTCATCTGCAGGTGTCGCTCACATGGCGTTATTGCTTTGCAAGAAAAGTTACCTTTTGTTTCTAATGCAAGAAATACATGTCAGTCACTCATTGCGATAAACTGACATAGTCTATTTTATGCAGATTGTTGGATCCAGTGGTCCTACCTTCCGAACCTAGCCAAATTGTTAAGCAACGACTCTTGAATTTTGTTAGATCATTGTCTACTGTGCTGGCCCTTGCTTATTGCTTATCAAGGTGAGTGCAGTAACTGTCACAATCTTGGATCTGGGGAAATTTCTTAGGGAATTTATCACTCGAATTTTATTTTAGAGACAGAAACCATTGGGCTTTGCTGGGTCTTTAGGGATTTGTATCATCTAATTACTACAATGCTGGCAAACATCATTGTTTGGTTTGTGGCCAAAAAGTTCATGTTATTGAAGTCAATATCCTTGGCTTTCGGTTTCTTTTTCTTTTTCTTTTCTAATGATTTTCTTCACTTTTCTGTAGCTTAATGCTGCTTCGTTGACAAATAATTATTTCTTATCTAACTTTTTCAAATTTTCTGGTGATGTGTTATTAATTTGTAATTTTTTGGCTCTTTATTTCTCTTCTAAGTTTCTCTTTTTTTTTTCTTCTAGTGATGCGTTATTAATTTGTAACTTTCTGTTTCTCTGATATGGTTCATTTTCAGCTTTTTAAAAGTTGCATTTAGTTTTGGTTGATTCCATGATAATAACTAAAAACTAAACATCTATATATCCTTCTGTGCAGTGCAATTCAACAAGCACAAAAATTCTTCACGGAGACGTCGGAGTCCACTGATACCAGAAATGTATGTTTCAGTGCCTAACCTTTATCCATCTTGATTTCGGACCTATTTAGATCTCTAATTAGAATTGTTGTAGTACTTTGAGGTGACTTTTTGGCAAAAAAACCAGTGAGATCAAATGGGCACACCCTAACAATTTTAACTTTTAACCACTTCTAATTCTTATACCTTTTCTTTTAAAAATAATCACCCACCATGGACTAGTGTTTGATCCAACTGAACTCATGGTCAGTAAATGTTTTAAACACGATTGTAAGAGACTTGCCCCATCCTAACTATTAGGCTACCCTACCACACATCAATTTCTATATTGCTATTTGACCTGATCTCCTTTTTCTTTTAGCAGTTACTTCTAACAAGCACCTCGTATTTTCATTGAAAAATTTCTTATTTATATTTGTGCAAAAGCACACCAAAGAGGTGAGAAAAGAATTAGCTGTCTGGCTTGAATTATTGTGATTACGTTCAAGATATGAATGTGTATCATAATTCATCACCACCTCTCTTTGGGTCTAATTATTATTTTTTTTTAAAAATAAAATATAGTGTAAAAGATTTTTTTTTTTTAACCATAAAAAATAGTTTAAAAGATTGCATAACTGACATTATTATTGTTGTTAAGAAAAAATAAAGCAACTTAGTATCTTGATAACACAAACTGAAGTTTATTTTGGAGTACCTCAGATATTATCGTTTATCATGAAACTGATGCCAACAGTAATTCTAGCTGGATATGGAAGTTTGCTGATGTGATGGCCATAATTCTTCTGATGCTCTAGCGCTTCAGAGTAACGGAGAGATCCCTATACAGAAATCTCATGCCATTGCATCACTTTTTTTAAAATTTATATACTTGATTTATCTGGTTAGACAACAATGAAATGTTATCTAATTATCGCAAAGAAACTGCTATCTACTAGTATCATTCTATGGATGAATATTTCTTGCTTCTTTGCAGATGGGTTTTCAATTTGCTGGCAAAGCTGTATATACTGCAGTATGGGTTGCTGCTTGTTCATTATTCATGGAGTTGCTAGGTTTTTCTACCCAGAAATGGCTCACTGCTGGAGGTCTTGGGACTGTATTGCTGACACTTGCCGGTCGTGAGGTATAATTGCATTTTCATGTTGTTCAATTTAAACCTGTAGCATCTCCAAACTTCCTTAGTTGTCATTTAGTCTGAGGGAATGCCCTCTGTGCTCCTGTATCTTTTTGCTTTTTTAATAGAATCCCAATTATGAAAAAAAAAAAAAAAAAATTTAACCTGTAGCTTTCGTGAATCATTGATTATCCCTGCCATTACTCTCGTGCTGTCCCTTTTATTTTATTTTTTTGCATTTTCTTTTTATTATTTATGAAGACCTCTGTCATATCAAAGCTTGATTTGAATTGTTTTTGTGCTTAGATATTCACAAATTTCCTCTCGAGTGCAATGATTCATGCAACCCGTCCTTTTGTTGTGAATGAATGGATTCAAACGAAGATTGAAGGCTATGAAGTTTCTGGTACTGTTGAGGTTTGTATTTTGAGTATTGAGCTATACACATGAAAGACAATAGGATGAGGATGATGAGATTGGTTATATCCTTCTAAATGCGTTGCAGTGTTATCACCTTTTTTTAGGGTTGTTTTGTTATCTGATATATGATGAACTAAATTCTTTTACATCTGTGCAATTATGATGTGGTGTTTATCTTCTGAATTACCTTTATAAGTTGAAACTTTCATCATATACTGTGCTTAGAGACTTCTCTTATTTGGGTCTTTATATTTTTTGTCTACAGCATGTGGGGTGGTGGTCACCAACAATTGTTAGAGGTGAAGATCGTGAAGCAGTTCACATTCCAAATCACAAATTCACGGTGAATGTTGTGAGAAATCTTACTCAAAAAACTCATTGGCGTATCAAAACCCATCTGGCTATTAGTCACTTGGATGTCAGTAAGATTAATGTAAGATTTAAAAGTATTCTGGGTTATTAACTCATTGACGAATTATAACTGCATTTCTGCAGCCAGATAATTACTGTAGGATCTTTCTCACAATGAATGGTTTGGTGTCTCTTACTTTATGCAGAATATTGTCGCTGATATGCGCAAAGTGTTGGCTAAGAATCCTCAAGTAGAACAACAGAGGTTACATAGAAGAGTATTTCTGGAAAATATTAATTCTGAAAATCAGGCTCTTTTGGTTAGTCTTAATTCTTGAACATTTATATCTTCCAAGAAACCAATAATGCTATTGTCATAGGTTATCATTTCTTTCTTACTGTTACCGATTTGCAAATAGATGTTTTTTTTTTTTTTTTTTTTTTTTGTGGGTAACATTGTCTTCTTGTTGCTAGTGGAAGAGACTTACCTCATGTTCTGTTGATGGTACTAAATGTGAGAGGCTCATGATAACTAGTGTTATTGTGGATAGCATTTGAACCATGCTGCTAACAGTATTGATCTTTTTTAATTAACCAAAAGAAAGATTTGCCCGACGTACAAGGTTCAGTAGTCACATTTTCACCATTGAAACTAAAAAATCTATTTAAACCATGAACACGGCTGTCAAACATGTCATGAAATGTCTAAGAAGTGTCATTATCTGACACATGTTAGACACGGTTCTGGTTTCTCCTTAAAAGTGTTTGTGCTTCTTAGTTAGTCGCCATAAGTTGACATTAGGGTTGATATAGCCTTGTCTTCATAAGTTGACATTAGGGTTGACATAGCCTTGTCTTCTTGCATAATAGAAGTACCTGTTTGTCATGTAGCATAGACATTCCTTAAGACTGTCTACAACCATTCAAAAAAATAAATCAATTATGTCCTATATTTTTTAAATAACATTCGTGATTGATACTGGTTAAGCACACAGCTGACACTTTCAATTTATAAAAAGAATATGGCTGTAAGATATACTACTGATATTTCTACTACTACTAATTGGCTATTAATGGTAAAATTTCCTTCCAAGTGGGTTGAACTTGATTCTAATGGTTGCTTTAAAGGCAATTGATTTGCAGCTGGAATGGGTGAATCTTTGAGGATGAGACTGGTAGTGATAGTTGGCTTGAAGGGTACATGGTGAACTTCGGCAGGTTGGCTGAGCTTTGGTCCATTCTCTACTACTGAGAAATTGAGAATTGCTTGACAGTGTTATTAGGGGCAAATAATTATGAAAATCAATGCTAAAGTGATTGTAGACAAATCTACATTTATTCAGTCCATATTTGTCAATAGTACTCAAGTGAAACTGTGCTGAGGGTTTTTTGACAAATGTGGCACTGTCAGATCGCCAATGAGTATAGGGACAATATTATATTTACTGGCTCTTTAATCTTGCAACGAGTGGTTCCCCTGGACTGATATTGTATATGGTTTTTGGGATCTCATTTGGCTGTTGATATCACCAGGTGTCCTGCCCCACAGGTTATTTCTGTTTCTAGAGCTAGTGCCCTCCATAGTGCCACAAAAGGTAAAAAAAAAAAAAAAAAAACAAGAGGGAAGGCAACAACTAGTGTAGGTTTTGTTTGTTGGGGTGTTGGAGTGGTAAACTTGCTCTAGAGTTAACTTAGCTTTTTTTGTTTAAAATAGCTTCCCTCATACTTGAACTCATGTTCTCACCCTTGAGTGCCGGAATATATTATTTTTGGAAGTTGACCCGAATATAATTTTATTGCATCAAGCAATGGTCCCTGATTTAGTATACTTATCACACAAAAAAAAAAAAAAAAAAAAATGGTACCTGATACACAATTAGTTACGTGATATATTCCATTGGATCCAATACATGACATTTAATATCTGTCCAGATTCTATATCTTTTACCACAAAATTTCAGGGATGAAATTCATATTTGAACACATAATGAGAAATATACAGTTGTCATGGGAAAAATACCTCATGACCTACCAGGTGTATTTGGGCTGACAACAATAGAGAAGGATGGAATGCCCTTCAGGATTGTATGCCCAATGAAGCATCAAAATGTGTGGCTGTTGAGATGACTCAAATTATTAAAGCTCATAAAAAGTCTACCAAAACAATCATTCAAAGCCATTAGTGACCCATTGCTATAGGATATGGATCAAATGTGCAGTAGTGACCACCTGGGTGTTAGCTGTATGTAAATTTGATCTGTGTTGCATATTTTGCAGATCTTGGTGTCCTGCTTCGTGAAGACCTCACATTTTGAAGAGTATCTATGTGTCAAGGTAAGAAGACCTTTATCTTGCACTTCCATTTCCATTTAATCATTGTATGGTCTTCTTAGTGGGATATCAGCGTCTTGATACGTCTTGCAATTGCAGCTCCATTAAGCAATGTAATACTACACAATTCATTAGAAAAATGTAAATCTATGTTTGAAAATTCACCAATGAGGCAATTTCTGTATACTTTGTTGGAATTCAGCATAACAGGAATTTGCATTTGAAACATCCTAGTTTTATAGAAGCATGGCTGCAAAGATTTGTCAGGGAATCTTAAGCAATTTGTCTTCTGCCCCTATAAATTCAGAAGTTACTGACAGGAATTTCTCTGAGAGGGTAGTAATTTTAAAAGGTTACTGACAGGACTGAGATTGATTGGTGGATTAGACTGGATTTTTCTGTTATTCCATAAACCGTGGATGGATTCTCTCACAAGAAATAAGTATTTATCTTTCCAAAAATAAAAATTAAAAAAATAAGTACGATATGTCACTGGATTCCTGGATGTGTTTATAGGAGGCCCGAGTTTTATCATGTTTCTGTTCTCATAGCCATATCCTTGATACTTAGTTACCGTTTTATTGATTTGTCATTTCATTTTAAACCATTTCATTCTACTTTTGCAATCTATAAGAAGACTTTAAGGGAAACTCATTTCGTGTTGTCTGAGAAAATCAGGAGGCTATACTGTTGGATCTTCTCAGAGTCATTAGCCATCACCGGGCTCGACTTGCCACTCCCATTCGTACAGTTCAGAAAATATATAGTGACGCCGATTTGGAAAACATACCATTTGCAGATTCAATATTTGATCGTGGGGCAGCATCCAAACGGCCATTTCTACTGATCGAGCCGTCTTACAAGATCAATGGAGAAGACAGGAAATCTCGGTCAGCACGCACAAGTGGAGAGCAAGACAGCAAGGCCATAGCACGGCCCACACCTGAAAGCAAGGCAGATGGTAAGAATGGAGCCATGCCAACATCTGATTCTAAAGCCAAAGAGACACCACAATCTGACCTCAAGACCAGTGAGATGTCAAAATCTCATTTGAAAGCAGATGCTAAGGCTGTAGAAGTTCCAATTGCCGACACCAAAGAGAACCATGTTGCAACGATGTCTATATCTGATCCGATGTTAAGTGATCAAGTGACGACGCAATCAGCGTCAAAATCTACCTCCAATACAGATCCCACAAGTTCTGACTCCAAATCCCTAGGCCCGATTTCTGATAATTCAAGCAAAGAAATTTCTAACAAGAAGTCACCTAAGAGGTCAGATGTGGAGCATGCTCTGCAGAATGGGTCCATTGAAAGTCCTTCAGGAGCGTCACCAGAAAGCGGCGGTGGTGAGAAACAGGGTGATTTTCCATCGACCTTGCAATCAAAACAAGAAGGTGAGAGATTGCTTCATACACAACCACAAATATCAAGACCTGTCTTGGAAGAGAATATAGTTCTTGGGGTTGCTTTGGAGGGCTCAAAGAGAACCCTTCCTATCGAGGAAGGGATGGCTTCCCCTGCCATTCAATCAGACATAAAAGAACTGGCTACATGCCGCAACGGGACTGGTGCTCCAGCTGAGAAGGATAAGAAAGAAAGTCAGCTTCCTAATATTCCTAGCTCAACATCTGGTGATCAGCGGCATCAGAAGGGTGAGTGATTGAAGTTTGTTTTCTTGTGCAGTGTAAAGTTTGTATAAGAACCTACGAAGCTTGGAAAAATTAGCTACCTTACAATGTAAATCTTTCTTACTATATTTTTTTTTCATTATTATTCAATAATAATTGCAGGAAATTTTTATTTTCCTTCGTCTTTGGCACACCCTACAGCATTTACCATTTTGCCTTTGCAAATTTTATAATTGAATAAACTGCGATGAATGGAAAATTTTCCTCTTTTTGCGTCGTTACGTAATGGAGAACTTCTCAATTGGCCTTAACCATCCTTAAATTGATGAAGGCAACTTTCATGCTGCTTTGAAGTCTCAGTCTAATATCACAATTTGCTTGTTAACAACAGCAACCTTGGAAAACTAACTGGAAATTTTACAGTCTCATTAATTTCTGATTTACCCGACATTTCAGCCTATTAATCCAATTTGGAGTAAAACAACTTGCTATGAGCCTCAGATTCTTTCACCTCACAAAAGACGATCAGCAATGAAAACATCTTCCAATTTAGAAACAAGGTAGGACATTTACTCCTTCAACCTGTTCAATGACAGTTCAATATGCTAATGACTGCTTGCAGAGTTTCAAGCAATTTAGAGCTGTGTACTCCAACTGAAGCAAACAAGGTAACTCAAAACACAATCAATTTCAGAAGAACAATCCTGCTAACCTTGTCAATACATAAAGGATAGTGTCTAGACCGATAAAAGGAAAGAGACTAGCCTTTATTCTCTCTTTCAGCAGATTTTTTAGCCAGCTCACCCCAGCACTGAAGAAGAGCACTCTCAACGAAGAAGGAAAAACTCAAGTAAAAACAACACTACAAAGACAGTTCATGACATATACATCTTATACATAAGCTGAGCCGGAACAAGCAACAGTGAACTTATGAACGATGTATTACTACGTGTTTTTATACAAGAGCCATTCATAAATCATATATCCGACCCCTTACACGGTGAAAAATACAACCCCATTTTCTATATCTATTCCCACCCTTATTGACCTCCACCCGAGGTAAATAGTCCCATGAATGGGAAAAAAGAAATTTCATCTTATTTCTAGTATTATAGGCCACAAACAATAGTTCAGTTGCACATCATAAGATATGCAAGGCATGCTCAGATTTCTCAGGATAATGTCAATTTAAGCAAGGCACATGCAATCAGGAGCAGGATATGTATATATAGACTGTTTTGGTTTCCGTAGCCTGATCTCTCCTTGTCTTTTTTTGTGCCCTTCCACCACTGCCCGTTGAAAGTCTGACCAATCCATGCTCTTATTCAAGAAGAGCTGACCCAATAATGCCATGTTGGGCCTTATTGTCTTCAAATTCTCAAAAGTTCGATCTCCAACCTGTTACATTCAAACTCTGGCATTAGAATCTCTCGCAGTCAAAATCATGATACAGAAATCTCCATGATCGAATTCTGAATCATTCTAGCAAAACCAGTTTGATTATGTATAAATTAAGTCAATGTACACCAATTTCAAAAACCTGCAAAACTTTAACCCTGACATCACTAACATTACTAATGATTTTACAATTTTTCTAAGTGATTCTGGATGAGCAACACAGTTCTCATTTACTCTTGCACTTCCATTGGCAAGTGCAGAATCATCCTGTGATCCCATATGCTGGAAATAGAAAGCAAAAAAAGGCGAAAAACAAACAAAAAGAAGACCAATATTCATTAGTAAACCCTTTAGAAGTTCTTTTTCTTTTTTTCTGTTCAAAATTTTACTCCAATCATTTCCCATATTCCCAATACTAAAGGTCTAAATCCCGATTTGTCACCAATGGTGCAGAATGCCGCATGAAAACCATCTATTACATGGTTCCCACCAAGTTGTTTTGGCAAAGAATTGGACTCAATTTTATTAAATCCACTGCTGTCAACAAAATCCATCAGCTTGTGGGTATATATTAGCTAGGAGAGCTTACCATTGCATTATGCATATTTCCAGGAGAAGCAGAAATGAAGATGTCACTGTGCATGCTGACATAGTAATCAACTGCAGCTAGTAAAGAAGCCTTCCCTTTAATCTGGGCCCTTTCCTCTGAAGAGGCAAGGCTTTTCTTATCTTCCATTAGTGGAAACAATTTCCGTAAGGTTGAGATTCTAGCTTCCCCACCATATACCTGGAAAACATGATCATTAAAATGAACTTTAGAAAACAAAGAAACAAGTTTCAGTTTTAATCAGAAAACAAAGAAACAAGTTCTAGTTTTAATTAGAAAACAAAGGAACAAGTTTCAGTTTTAAAGAAGTAAATATAGCCACCCCAAGCAGTTGGGACAAAACAAGTTGAGTTGAACTAAACAGAAGTTTTATGTAAACCTTGTGGGAGGCAAGATATAGACGAGTATTGTTGTTAAAGCCTAAAGCTGCTAGCAGCAATCCGATCTCTTCTGGAGTCAATGGGCAGCGCCCCTGACTCCTCAACTCTTCATCAGTGAACTGAGAGTTTAGGACCCTTCCCTGCCAAATTACTTGTCGGTACTTAGCCAGAGCCAATTTTTCAGCTTTACCCCCACCAAAATCGCAGGCTGAATGGGCAGCCATATCCTGCATAATGAGCAAGTTACGAAATATTCCATTAACAAAAGAACTCTACAGCCAAAAGTCGATGGATGCAAAGGCAATCATCAAGCAGAGGGAGCATGAAGATTTACTTAATCTAATACATGTATTGATTAAACAATTAGAGGTGATTGCCTGGCCTTTATAAAAAGGTTACACAGCGTGAAACTGCTCAGAAAGATCACTGTGAACAGGACTAGTGAAACTATTTGATTTATATCACATGGGTAATAATACTGCATGTCAGACAGATGGTGCGTATGGTCTACAAAAGCAGGGGCTCTTGGAATACAAAAGCAAAATATCAATTTATCTCTACATACTTATAACAGGAGTGGCCCATACCTTATCAAACCGAAGATGTAGGACGACAAATTTCCCTGCTTCTTGTTTGCCATTTGCAGCAGTAACTTCCCTTAGGTACTTGTCACCAAGAGACCCACTTTCACCAGGAGGTTGCCGAAGACGGGTAACAAGAGCATCTCCAAGAGCTCTGATATGAGGAACAAAAACTAATGCTTGAAAGTTGACTTTACAACGAAGGCGTTGGATGTCCTTTGGCAAATTGTCGAAAGCCAGACGGTGAGAAAATGGGGCAATCGCAGCTATACCATAACTGGACCATTCACAACATATTAAAATCAAAAACCGAGTTTCAGAGTTCAGCTAAAAAATATTTAAAACTTAAAGAGATTTCCTTAATAAAAATAATCATATACCCAGGCCAATACCAACACTATGGCATTATTGTAACAAATTTAACACAAGCAGTAACAGTCTTAATACTGATATAGTGTTACACATAAGCATATGATCTTTATTTATGCCAGCATTTTGCATTTATCTTGGCACACCTTTATCTTGAAAAATACAAATGTAACTAGATAAACATGACACTTGAAACGCTTAATTGTAACCCCGGGCATCTGTATCTTTTATCTTTACATCAACCATTCAACCCTCCTTGTAATGACTTTGTTTTTAGCCACAAATGTCTTCATTGTCTAGGGAAATAAAAACTTATAGCAAATATATATTATTTCAAGTTGTTCATTACAGATTATAAAGCCCCCTCTCAGATCCAAAATGTTTGAGACACACAAGTTCTGTTGAAAGCAGGAAAAATCATCCTGAAAATTTTGAATTGCAAACCTATTATGAAACAACAAATCTTGTAAACCCTCCCCTAGCACCGACATAAAATGAAAATCTACCGCAAGATTGTAAAGGTATAATTTTAGTAAAAAGCAGCAATTCTGTAATATTTGTCGTCTTTGGATTTTTTATTTAGATATATGGTTGGTAATTATTGAAGAATGATGACCCTGTAGTTAACAGAATGCAAATTAAAGAAGTTTTATAAGTATCTTCAGTTCTTCAGTGATATGCATGTTATCTGCCAACAATTAGGGACTTTAATCAATGGGGGATTTTAGAAATAGGAAACGAAATAAACATTTAGCCAATAAAGGCGATTGATTCCACAAAATCAGTGAATAATTCCTTCATCCACTAAAAACCAAAGGAGCATCTGATGTCAGCCTCATATTAGAAAAGCAGCTCTGAGGCACCATTAGACAAGTAAAATGTTTGAAGAGATATAACAAGCCACCATAGGGTCTATGTAAGAGATTTTATATCCCAAAAAAAAAAAAAAAATTCAAATGGTTATGAACTATCTGGATTCCCCAACTTTTTACCGACACTTCTCTCAAATAATTCAACCATCTAAAGAAGCAAAAGATACATCACATAGTCCAACATCATCACATAAATGAAACCCTTAGGCAGACTCTCGGGTGGGGATCCTATTCTTACACATCAATTCCAGATACTCATGAATGCCTAAATAATTTGTGCTTGATTTTTCATCAAAGTAATGCATCTGATTCAATTTGCAGAAATCCATACAGTTTAGGACAATGATCCAGTCTTGTAGTTCTTCAAATATACTAGGGTAGATAACGAAAGCAAAGGTTTTGGGGTCTGACATTATGAAGAACTAATCAATCCCATGAGATAAAAGGTTAAGGTACACCAACCTTTCTAAGACGGGCAAAACATTCTCCAGATACCAGTTAGCTGAAGCATGAACAGGTGCAGTTTTTATTCTGGTAGCTCGAATGGCTGTGGCATAATACTCTCTTGTGCTCCAAGAGAATTCATCAGGGAGCTCTTTAACTATAGAAATATCATCCTTCAATGCATTAATAAAGTGATCCACATCAAAAATATCCATGAATGAGCTGCAAGAAGAAAGAAAGAGAGGGGAAGGGGGGGTGAACTTTGTTAATAACTTCTCCAAAATATATGAGATTCAGAAAAGATACAAGAAAAAAAAATTAGCATATATGTATTGCACAAGAAGCACCTGGAATCTTGCCAGACAGGATTCACTTCGAGATGTGGAATCACAAGAGTTGCATTTAGAATTTTAGCAACGGCAACTGCATCACAAATCTATTTGGAAGAAAAGAAGTTTAAAAATTGTTTGAAACAATGTTGTCATCTACTGGGATTTATATAAACTGTTCATTGCAAATATTCAAATACCTACCCCCATTCTCTGCTGGTTCAACCCTCCATCAAGGAATAACTGGATATATCCCTCAGATTTGCTGGGTAATGCTGAAAGGACAAAATTATAGGATAAACAATATGCTTGAATACAAAACCATATTAGTTCTATTAAAGCTTTAATGCAGTTAATGGAAATTTTACACGAAATGGAACTTCTACGTTAACCCTATTTCATATTACTTACTAGAGGTACTAGCAGATTCAACACAGGGTTTCCATCCTTGATTGGCCAAAGGATTCCAGAGATCAGACTGTAGTCCATTTAACTAATAAGAAAAATACAAGTTAATTCAGAAGTTTTTACAACTCAGGGAACAAACAAACCATTAATATATATACATATGCATGTATGAAGTTCAATTAACTATTACCGTTTGATGTTGTAAGGCACCCTTAAGTAGACGTGAGTGTCTAGGTTTTGGAGCATTCCATTCCTGCACGAGCCAATCAGATTACATAGTGAGTACGATTAGCCTAAAAGGCGCCTTGGTACACATGGTGCAAAACTTACACTAGCATAACTACAAGCGTGTTTTTCATATGCATGCATGAATTCACCTTAATTTCAATGATGTAATATAATCAACATACTACAGATTTAGAAATCCCAGAAAAGGAATAGCACTTGGTGGATATTGCATTAATGTTGTTCTTTAAGAAAACATATTATGTCTCAATTGATAAGAGTCTAATGACCGAACTCTTTTCCAGGAAGGCTGCCAAAATTCCGTAGCACCTTTTAGTCTCTAATCTACTGTTTCTCAAATGCCGTTTTAGCTCTGTCATTTTGGCCCTTTCTTTCGTTTAAACTCCTCAGAAACTCTCGCCACAACTATAATTTATTTCTTTCCTCCATTACTACTTTTTGCACTCTTTAAAAAAGCACATTGTAAAAATTGCATGTATGCCAATGTGCAGAGTAATTTGGCTACAACATGCAAAGATTAATATTGTGGCTATACACTACATAGATATAGCATCTGAGATTAAATTGAAATCAACTAACTACCCTCTTTGCATCTCATGGAGCAAGCATCCAATGAAAACAAACAACTTTCATATACAGTAATTAAAGTCAAAATCATTGAAATCATCCTTCATAGTTCTCAGCACACATCTAAATAACATAGTCACATATATACTAGTATTGACAAATCCGAGTCAATGATAGAACTCATCAAAGCCATATGACAATTAAGTCAACAGTTCCAGAATACCATACTGTGCCCAAATTTTTATCACAAACTATTGACTTAACAAGATCCCAGCCGTAGAAAATCACCACTCACCAAATCATCTGAATTTCACATTTGACATCAAATACACCCAAGTTGACCCCTACCTGCCACTTTAAGCAATCTTCTTAAGATCAAAATTACAGCCATGACCTTCATATTAAAAAAAATTAAATAACAAACCCTAATTACTTCAAAATCCGTTTAAAGAAAAGAACATAAACAGAACACTCAAACCCAGAAATTCCATTCCCTATTTTTAGCCGAAAAGATAAATCAAAATAAAATATACAAGGGGGAACAAACACAAGAAGAAAAATCAGTAGCAAATGGAGAATTGGGGAAAAGACCCAAAAAAATCAGAACACCAGAAACAGAATATCAAATACAAATAAATTATATACAAACACACAGACATACCGAGAAGAGAGAAGGCGAGGCGTGACCCAACGGAGCGAAAAGAGCAGGGAAGAAAATGGGTAGGAGCAGCACCAAAAGGGCAGCAAGGAGACCTCCTCCCCTAAGATTGTTGCGGTACATCTTCATGGTGGTGATTGGTAATGGTGCTCAGCTCAGCCTCTGAACTCAAAGAGGCTCTAATTAGCAGAAGATGAAGAAAACCCTTCCTAGAAAAAGTATCTATCCCAGGAGGAGGAGGAGAGAGAAAGAGAAAGATGATAAAGCCATCCTCATCATTATTATCAACTTCACATCAGAATTTTTATTAAACAAAACAGGTGCAATGAGTTGATGCTATGGTTAACAGTCATGGAGGTGTCCTTTTCAGAGGACCCAACTCACCCCCACTTCCAACGGATCAATTTTTGTTCTCATACTACTTTATTACCAACTTTGGGGGTTTTCACGGGCATTTTTAGACTCTGGTTTCGTGTTTACCATAACTTTATCACTCTTTTGCCTTTTCGAGGCACCGACACTCACACAGTACTGTGTTGAACTTGGTGGATCACTGTATTCATTATTGATTACTCCTATTTATTGATTCTCTCTCCTCTAAGTCCCAACTGTTATATTCGGAGTATTTTACTAAACTTCCGTCTATTTGGGAATTAACTCGGATCCGACCAAAATTAGGTCAATTTTTTGTTTTTGTTTTTATTTGGGAATTAACTTGGATCCAACCAAAATTAGATCATTTTTTTTCTGTTTTGGAGGATGGAAGTTGAGATGAAAATGGAGTCAATATTCTTTAATGCAAAAAGGGAAAGAATGACAGAAAGGAAAACTGGTGAATGTTTGGTTGAAAGAAGAGAGAATAGAAATGAAAGGGGAGAGGATAGAAAAGAAGGAAGAAGATTCACATCAGAACCGGTTTGGTTTATTTTTCTTAATATATCTTTCAAAATTTTATTTAAGACTAGAGTTTTCTTAATTATTCTTTCTTAATTAAATTTTTAGAAATTGATTTTTTTATGACAAGAATGCGAGAGGATGGTGGTTAGTTGCCAGATTAGAAGAGTGCAAAACTCATCACAAGCTCCCAAATTCAGAGAGCAATTCAACCACCTCAAACACGAGTTCTCAAATACCGAGACAACACAAAACTTACAATTTTTAAGAATCTATAACCAATCAAGTTTTTGTAGAATTTTTAAAATTTCAGTTATCTAAAATTGAAAAGTTATGTTCAAAAAAATTGAACCAAACAAGTCATTCAGGTTAGTCCTATTTCTATTTATTTGTAAAATATCAAAGGAAATTAAATTGAATCATGGAGCACTTATAGATATGTATTTGATTGATGGATAAATTAGAAATGAATTTTTAATAATAATAATAAGAAATGAATTTTTAATTATGTAAAGAAAACATTTTGTTTTTCTGTGTTAAAACAAAATTTGACGCTATAAACAATTTGAAAATTGAAAATAATTAAAATTATCAATTTTAATTAATAAATAGAGTTGAGTTCATTTGATAACTGAGTTGAGCCTTTGAAAATTGAGTTGGTACATTAAGATTCAATAAATAGATAATTAATTATTCAGTGATACAATAACCAAAATTTGGAGGGAGTAGAGCATGATTTTAGGTTAAATGTATATAGTTAGCAAAATACGGTACGGGAAAAAAACGGATATGGAAACTTACTAGTATAATTTGATTTTAAATACATTTAAAAAATTCGGCAAAAAAAATAAATAAATAAAAAATAAACGTAAAAATACATATACATATACGTACTTGTATAATATGTTTTATGTGCTAAAAATTCAGCTATACACATCTTATTAATTTCATATATATGATATATTTGTAAAGACAATACAAAATATGTACAAATAATAAAATAAATATATTCCAAAATTGACACAGTCACAGTAATCATGGAAGAAATCAACTATCTAAATATAATTAATTAATAACAATAAGTCTATAACATGGTCAATTCATCACAAAATTAATAAAAAAAAAATTTCTAATTCAAATAATCAACTAAATAGCCTAAAATAAAAATTAAAAAAATTATTCTAAATTTAGAGCCCACCATCCAATGAAGAAAGATTTTCATCATTGGTGACGAAGATATCACTAGAACCATCATCTTCCGTTGGTTCTAAAGAATAATCATTCATGATTAACATATTTAAGAATGTCCCTAAGTTTGTCTCTAAAGAATAATCATCCTTATTCTTTATGATCAACATATTCAGGAATGTTACTAAATTTGTTAAGACTAATTGGCTCCAAATTTTGTGCTTCTAATGTCTTGAATTTTTCCGTCATTATTTTGTTCATTTTATGTATACAAGATTGTCCAACAAATGTGAAAGGGAATGGCTACACCGATGGTAATTTGTGTTAAGAAAGTGTTTGAAAAAACTACACCATTAAAAACGTGAACGAATAAAAAAAATAATTAGGTTATCTAAAGTATAAAACACGATTTAAACTGTGACCAAAACGTATTAAAATTTAAAGCGAATAAACACAATACATACAAGGTGATGGAAAAAACGTGTATTTTACCATATCTTTTAACTGGCAAATGAAAGTATTTTTTCAAACTTTGCTGTTTATGATACGCAAATTTACTAACTAGGTTTGTTATTGGAATGAATTTTTAGGTAAGCTCAATCTGTAAAACTGAGATAATTTGTCCAAAAGCAAAAATGAGATTATTTTTGTTTCGTGTGATTCTCAAATTGTAAAAAACTACTCAAGGTAAGTTGCATTTTAGATCGATGTTGAGTAATTTCAATTTTCTTTGAAATATAACTGATCGATGTCGAGTAATTCTAATTTTCTTTGAAATATAACCACAAAATAATACAAGCCTATAAATTTTACATAATTCAAAAGATCTTTGGGATCAAGACTCTCACTTTTTTAAGATTAGGAGTTTGAATTTCATGAAATACTAACATTCAAATATTTGTTTTGCAAGTTTTTTAGGAGTTCGGATAGCATAAAGTAATGCTCAAATATTTTTTTGTAATTATTTTTAAAAAAAATTTATGAATGTTCTAAGAAATACAACGCCTCCATTATCAAGAAAAAAATTAAATAATAAAAAATCACAAAACACAAACTCAAACTAGTCAACACATATGTAAAAAGTCATACCATCTTCTTCTTCTTCTTCTTTTTTTTTTTTTTTAGTTGGTACTTATACATATTTGTCCTTATGGGACTTGAATCCTTAATTTCCTTTTGAAAAATAAAAGACACTAAACCACTAGTCCGTGGATGAGTCACACCATCTTAATTTTTAATTCTACCCGAATTCGGTTAATTACTGCACTCTTTTGACGGATGGTCTTATTTATACAATCACATATTAATATCATGCAGGGGAATACTATGTAGTTTTAGAAATTAACATAACTAAAATCAATGTTGTTCTCAGATTATGAAAATAATAATAATAAATAAAATTAAAAATCATTTTTCTAAAAACCATGAACTCATCTGTCCGTCAAATCAGAACAGGTAGTTGTCAAAGAATTTATTCCAGAGTCACGATCAAACTGACCTTTTTTTTTTTTGTTGCTGATGGCAGACATTAATGTTCTATTTCATCAAAATTTCAACAAACAATTAGGTCAAAACATAGTACTACTTTATTATACATTGAATGTTTTCATCCGATTAATTTCTTATGAAATATGATTTCCTAAGCGGTTTTTTATTAGTAGTGTTCAAATGCGTCGTAATTAAAGGTTTGAAGTACTTCTCAAATGCATCGTAATTAATAGTTTGAATTTTGAAATACTCTGAAAAATAAATAATCACATTATTCCACCTCATGTTACAACAATTATGTCCCACCAATATTTTGTAACTTTTTATAACTAATATCTAACCTACCAAGGCTCATACATATCCTTTTCCTATTTTGCACGTTTAAAATTGCTCATTTTCCAAAATGATCTGTTTGGTTCACTAATTTAGTAGGAGAAAAAAGAAAATGATCCCCTTATATTTTTGTCATACTCATATGAAATTAGAAATCTAAAATATTAAATGTAAAGAAAATAAAATTTAAGTAACATGAAAATTATAAATTTCAAATTTTGAAAATAATTCTTCTAATGTTTGCACCCGAAAAGTCCTTATTGGCCGAAAATGATGATTGGGCATTACATGGCATTGACGTGGCAGATCGGTAATGACATGGCAAGGAATATTAAAGACTAGTTTTAATGACACATGATAGCACTGGTTGTAAACTTGTAATCTACTCCAGTATGGTGTAATTTACACTTTTGTTTAATTTATTCATTTTACCATAGTTTTCGTTTCTGCATTTTCAGTCCTGATCTTCATTTTATACTCAAATTCCAAGTTAATTAAATTTCAGATTTCCAAAATTTTTAAATATTTTCCACCACATATTCCTTCACTATTAAAAGTCTTTATTACAAGGTAGAAAGAACCAACGACGAGAGTTACTCCATTTTTTTTCAACAATCGCATTATTTATTAGGTCATTTCACGTCTGGTAAGAGATTATAATGTGTGGCACTTAGTTTCTACTAACTTTTCGCATACATATTTCCTTCTCACACTTGAAAGTTAGTTAAACAGTGGACCGTAAAGTAGTTAAAACTCAACTACTTCAATAAACAAACACACTCACTCCTACCCAACAAGTTTATTGAGCATTCATTCATTTGCATTTTGCAATTAAAACCCTTACCTTAAATCTTTGACACAAGAACTAAAATCTTCTATGCGATGTCCGGATTCTTATCAGTTCTGAGGCACATATGCCTGACCATTTACTGTTTGACCATCTTCGTCGGCAAGTTCGGATTTCACATTTCAATTCCTTGTACACAATGTCTTTCTTCTTAGGCTATTGTACCACTGATATCATCTGTTCATGCCTGTGCTTCGCATTTCTGTTGATGCGATTTAAGGTTTTCTTTGAGGCAATTTGCACACATTTGTGGTTAAATGGTGTTTGTTGTGTATTCATAAAGGGTTATTGTCGGTCAATTCTTCATCTGCAAATTACAGAAGAAGAACTGGTTGTGATCCTATTTTTGTTGTTTTCTTTTGCTTTGCCAAAAAAAAATAAATAAATAAATTGTCCCATTGACACCTCCCAAAGATACAATCCTTCATGAATCCACAACACACTCGGGTCAGTTTTACATTCATTCGATAGTGCACAACCATCAAATTTATAGTTACAGACAACATTTTCGTCTTCCTTTGCTGATAAACTCCAGTGTCACTTCCATTCAGCCTGAATAGGGTAACCTGCAAGAAAAATCAAAAGATACAATAGGAAAGTAACATTGTGCAAAACAAAATGATTCCAAAGGCACCTTAAACGTAACGGCAAAGCAAATTTAAATGAAAATTGGTGGCTTGTCTCACCCCAACTTGAGGGACGTGTCGGAGCTTTCATAGTCTTGTGGAGGGCCATTTGAGGTGCTGACATTGGTGACAGATTCGGATGACTGCCCTTCCTCATAAAGCATGTTCTCAGACTCGGCAGCAATTTGTTTTCGGGCATTGGATATCTCCCTCACCTTCAGCCAAACATTCCACATGCAATTAACAAATGAGCAAGCAAAATACCATGCTGCAATAGAGAAAGAGTGATCCATTGCGGTTCATACTTGCTGTCTTAATCGCTCGTTGTCTTCCATCAGTTGCATTCCCTGAATGTTATTTAATTTTAAATGGAAAATGAGGAGAAATTAGCAGGGTAAAAAAGGACACAGGAGAAATTAAACTGAAAGGAACATGATCCAAATTAATCACAAATTACTACTTATCAAATTCAAATTAGTTTCCTCAGAGCAATCAATCAATCTAAAATGCACTTCTTTTCTCAATCTGGAACCATGTGCTACAGAAGTATTTCAATCAAACAAGATGGTTTGAAACTATAACAAGTGAAATTACTAACGCAGGGTCTGCCATTGTTTTATATCTGCCATGCTTCCAGTTATACTGTTTATGGATGCATACAGTTCTACAAGAAAGTCCACAGGTCATATTGTTTTCCTTTTGCTGTTAACTTGCCATTGTTTTCACACGACGTTATAAAGTTAATTTTCTAACCTTCTGTTGAAGGGTGGTGATCTCGTTCATAATCTTCTCGCCCTGGGACAGAAAATAAAATATTTGTTAGGGTGGATCCAGATGAAATCGTATGCTTATCACAAGAAAGAAATAAATACATACCTTCTTCTCTATCACTCGGCCCAATCCTGTTTCTAGGGACCTCTCTAGCTGCTGCAATTCTTCTATGCTTAATCCTTGGAGATCCTCTCCCCTCATCTTCCTATTTTAGTGGGATTATATCTCAATTAATATCATAAGAACATTAAAAAAATTAAATTTATACCTTAGTTGATGAGTTTTCTCTGCCACTTCCTTGCTCAGTCTCAAGTGGTTGCTGTTCTCTACTAGCTGTAAAATATAGTAAGCAAAGAATGAGAATAAGGGAAAAAAAAAGGGCCAGAGAATCAGAGATAGATGGCATAATCGCAAAAACTGTAGAATGGATGTTGGGATTCTAGAAAATGTAGGTGTTGCTACAAACTGTGCGACGACCATTGTCTCAGGTTCCAGGAACAAAGTGCAATAGGATAAGAAGCAATTGAGGATTTGGAATTTCGCCAAGTACAAAGGATGAGAAGACTGCATCAACGGCTAGAAGTCTTATTGAGGTTGTACCACAAGTTGAGAACCTTCACCAAGTACAAAGGATGAGAAGACTGCATCAACGGCTAGAAGTCTTTTTTTGAGGTTGTACCACAAGTTGAGAGCCTTGTAACGCCTATAAAAATATAGTATAAACAAAATTCATATGGAGTGACTTACTTGAAGCTCAAGAGATGGTCGTTCCAGTTTATCAAGATTCTTTGAGTGCAAATTATGCCTTTCTAGCATTTGCTTCATACTTCAGAAGAAAAAAAGAAAGAAAAAAAGAAAAGGTTAAAAAATATCAGTTGCTGTAATAGCTACCAACTTAAATTATCGATGATATCCATTGTGATCATTAATACATCAGAAGAAAATTAAACTAGGAAATGACATCTTTAGCACATATGTCATCAACAAGCTTTTATCGTCCTTTAATTTTTATTTTTTAAAATTTTTGGGGGGCCATTTGGTTTGTTTCACTTGGCAAGTGAAACAAAAGGTCCTACAGGCAAGTTTGGATAAGTTTCCCTTCTTTTTTTGGGTCTAATCTTGGCTCTTGTACTTATTCACATCTGCAATATTTGCAGTCTTATTAAGAAAAAAAAAAAATTAGACGAATTACTCCTAAGACCTAGTAAATCATCTAGTGTAGATTGTAAGAGCCTTATTATCAAATGAGGAACAATATAATGCTATCTAATCCTCCTCCATCACAAACTCACACCAAATCTTACCTATATATTCAATAAGATAATCATCTGTGTGTGTGGATTTCATTATCACACCACACCTATCATATGAATTGGGATTTGAAAAAATTATTTAAGGGTTCATTACTTAGGTAAAATTTCCACAAGTGTCAAATAATTATTCAAGAGATATAATGTGGATGCAAGAGATATATGGTGTGTGACGGCCCAAATTTCTTAACCCGGAGCGTCAGCGAGTAACCCAATATCGAGTCCGAAACGCAGAAGCAATAAAAGAAAGAAGGTCTTTAGAGATAGACACTACCTCTAAGACAACAAAGTGACCTTCTAAAAAGTCACGAGACTCAAATAGAAGATGAATGCGGAAGCTAAGGTCAAAAAGGACAAAATATGGAACTAGGGGTAAAATGGACATTTTACCTAATAGTGGAGAAATTTGACTCAAAACAAGTCAAATGAAGTGTACTCAATCCAATCTAATCAATTTATAACATCCCAAGAGGTTCTAAGACTTTTAGTCATGGTTTCCAAAAAAATGCCGCCTCCCAGTCAAGTGATTTCTCGACACTGTCCCACTAAAACGAGAATATCTCTCAGTAGGAATGGAATTTGAAAATGGGATTGATATCATTGGAAAGCTAACTTAAAATCCTTGAATTTAGACTCAAGAATGACCTAATTTGGATCTGCAATGATGGCATTATGACTGTTGCAAGATTAGGTGAAAAATATGTCCAACGCATGAACAGCAGCTGCGGATTCTGCCCAAGAAATGAAAGTAGGTTTCTCAATGTCTAAATTGAATATGCGGTGCTCAAATACACCCAAATGACCCCGAAAAGTCCCGGAGTAGTCGGTTCGGTTGTAGAAACAAAATTGATGAATAGTAACCGTGACCAAAATTGCAAAAAAAGAAAACTCAATCTTTGGTACATTGTTTCCCCTTGCCCAAAAAAATGAATATTTTACCTAATGGTGGAGAAATTTGACTCAAAACAAGTCAAATGAAGTGTACTCAATCCAATCTAATCAATTTATAACATCCCAAGAGGTTCGAAGACTTGTAGTCATGGTTTCCAAAAAATGCCCCCTCCCAGTCAAATGATTTCTCGACACTGTCCCACTAAAACGAGAATATCTCTCAGTAGGAATGGAATGTAAAATGGAATTGATACCATTAGAAAGCTAACTCAAAATCCTTGAATTTAGACTCAAGAATGACCTAATTTGGATCTGGAATGAGGGAGATACGACTGTTGCAAGATCGGGTCAAAATATGTTCAACGCATGAACAGTAGCTGCGGATTCTGCCCAAGAACTGAAAGTAGGTTTCCCAATGTCTAAATTGAATGTGCGGTGCTCAAATACAACCAAATGACCCCGAAAAGTCCCTGAGTAGAACAAAATTGATGAATAGTAACCGTGACCAAAATTGCAAAAAAAGAAAACTCAATCTTTGGTACATTGTTTCCCCTTGCCCAAAAATGATCCCTAAGGCCGCTAAGATCAATCCCAAATGAAATGAAGCATGGAATGAGATAAATACATACATGTGTACTGTGATATTGTGGCCCGAGTTTGGTGTCGGACGCGACCCGCTTATAACTCAAGACCTGTTGGATGAGCTTTTGCTCATAAGTCGTGGACCCTAATTAGTCTCTTGTAGCCCAATATATAAAGGCGCTTAAGGTTTAGAGTGGTGTAAGAGAGAAAAACTAGCATTAGCATATCTTTCTAAAAATTAAATAACAAGCTTATAAGACAATACATATACATGTTTTGAAATAATATAAAAGCTTAAGTCAAGAAAGATAAATCTCATGAATCTTCCTACAACTCACACAGTATGCATATAATTTATGGTAAACCCCAAAACACAAGGAAAACTCTAAGGTTACAATCATACTACACCCCCACCTCACTAGAGAAAGCCTCTCTAGATCCAAAGGAAAAGCGAGCAAAGAAAAAATCCAAAGGAAGGGTCTTGTGGTCCAATGTGCAAGCAAACTTTCTTCCTTCAATGGTGAAGCCAAAAGGCGAGAGGAAAATGGGTAAAACTAAGCTCTAAGGTTTGTATCAATGGAGGGTGGAGAGTAAAAAAGAGAGGAAGAAGATGAAGTTTAGTAGAAAAATGGAAGACTAAAAGTGTATATAGCACTTTAACAAGTATAGCACTACCCCTCTCTCACACACAACAATCCTAGCCCTACACTTGTCCTCATCACACCACGCACCACATGTCTCAATTAAAGATTAACACATGGTCCAATCAAAAGATGACATTTTGCACAACTTCTCCAATTTGCACACAAGTCCCTCTACTAAATATCTCCCAAAAATATTTGCACCAAGGTCCCTAAACAAAAATATCTTCCAAAGATAAACGCACAAAGAACCCTAGAAATGAAAATGTCCTCAAAGAAATAAAGCACATATACCCCTACTTAAGTATAATATAATAAGCATGCATCGTTACGCAATTAAATTATGCATTGACAATAAAATAAACTAAATTAAATGCATGAAGTGTCGAAAATCAATCCCTGACACTAAACCCTACCTCAGGTCCTCCAAAGGTAACAAGAAACGAAATAAAAATAAATAATATAATAAAAAATAAAAATAATATAATAATTAATTCATAATAAATAATAATAATAATAATTAATAAAATATTTAAAATAATTAAAATAAATAATAATAATAATAAAATATCTCGAAAAAAAAAAAAGATGACATGGTCATAACATGGTGTATAAGCAATGCAAAATTTAGTAGCCACAAAAAAAACATTTAATCATCATATCAAGGCGAGTCAAATAGTATACATCATGATAAAAATTTAGTAGCAACAAAATAACATTTAATCATGTCAAGGGAGTCAAATAGATATACATCACTTCCAAAACCTTCATGAGTTTAAGATTTGAAGGATGTAAATTTCACGTTAGGATGCTTTTTGAGTTCACAGAATCTAGTGAAGCCCAAATCATGAACCCCAGAGAACATCACAATATGAATCATACAAAAATTTCTTTATTGAACTTGACAATTATTCCACACAAGATCAGCAGCATTAGTATGGTGACTGATCCCCAAGAACAAAGCTATTTTAATTTCTACAGCCTACATTAGATAGGAACCGGATAACAATTAAGAAAACTACCTCGAATCATAAAATGGAAGTCAGAAAATGAGGAAATGAAGATAATTGAATCAAACTAATTCGAACATTCAATTTCCAACAAACCATGGATGGACCACAAATTGTATGCATGTCTTTCCAAATTTGCCGGATAGAAGCATCACAACTCAGTGAAAAGAAAGATGTTTTTTACTCTATGAATCTGGTTCTGTATTATATGCAAACAACCGCGGTTGCTTCTAACACACACTCCTTTATGTCACTTGAAAATGGTTAAGGACCAAAGACACTAGCTTGTCCATCCTCAACTTATTCTAGAAATTTCAAATTGTTTTGCCCACTCTATTTATGGCCTTTTTATACAACACTAAAATGTCACCGTATACATCAGATCCTCCTTGATATTATATCCTATCATACATCCTATAATGCTCCAAGGCCAAACCCATCATACTTCATCGCAACAAATATAATCTTAGCAAAACCTGGACTACAAGACTCCATCACTCAGGCACCTAGGTCACATGTCCACTTGCATCTTCCTTTGTTTCTCCAGTTGGTCATTTATTATGCGTCTAACTTTTGCTTTTCTATTCACAATCTTAAATCAACTTTACCTGTTCTGTTGTGTCATACCAATTAATTTACCTGTCTTTAAATAAACATATAAGTTTATAACAAGCTGCAATAATGAAACAACTTAATGTTCTTCCAAAGAATATTTGATACACCATTGTACATACTATCACAAAGGTATATATATACCCGTGCTATTAATCAAATGAGATACCTTTTTGGGAACAATTACAATTTTTAAAAACTTGAAAAGTTTGATGATATTTCTAAAGTTATTATAAAGGTCATTCAAGAGTGAAACAAATCGATTTAGTATATTCCATCTTAAACATCTCCAAAGGTGAGATGTGAGTAGAAAAGTACTTGATTAGTTCCCTTATCACAAGAGTTAAATTTCAAGATCTAAGAGTTATTACATGGTTATGGCCAGCAGACTCTATTACAATTGGAACTTGCGTTGCGAGTATACAGCATAGAACACAAAATAATAAATTAGAAAGTTACAATGAGTCTACTACTGTAAATATTTATAACATAAAAACACAGTTATTAAAAACTTTAGAAGACTAGATATGTTGAAATGCCTCATCTTTGGATGTTATTTACTAATTTCACCCAATGCTTCAACCTGAAGGTGTAAAAGAATCCCATTAGATAGAATTGGAAGATTTCCAAGATCAAATTTGTCCCACTATACGAGTGGAATATAAACATAGAATGCTTGTTTGCAAGAACATAGCAATCTATCAAGGATTTATCACAGCAAATGCCAGTGATGGTAGGGGAGTGTATGGTTGTAATAAGACTTTTATTCATCATCGTGCACTCATTACAGATACAGTTATTGCTGCAAGATCAGTTCAATCAATGTCTAGGTTCCATTTTGTCCTATTTCGACAACAAAGAGGAAGCCTTGAACTTATGAACGCTGGATTTGAAAATCATTCAAGATTGTACTAACTAGCTAACTCCCATACCCAATGTGCTGTTGCTGTTTTGGTACACATGTTCCCCGCCGCTAATTCACCTTTGCAGTGACTGCCATTAATTTGTTTTTTGTTAAAATACATTGATTCAATCTAGAATTTTGCTAAATTCAAAACCCAAGGTAAACATATCAGGAATAGTTATTATTGAAGTTGTGAAATGCCAGCCCACTTGATATGCTTTCCTAATCTTCTGCTTCTTCCTTCCCAATTAGTTTCACAGACGTTTAACAAGGTTCAATCAAACATTTTAATTATTTTTTAATATATAGGACAATTTATAACAAAGAAACCACACTTTTTGACCTTATTCCTCCAATGTATTTATTCCTTATATCATTTGTCTTCATATATAGTAAAAAATTAACTAATCATTTTTTAATCTGGACTGATCCGTCTCTAACATGTAAAGTTGTTATTTTCCACATTAACTAACAGCTTTGATAGTCGAATGATGAAGGACCGTAATATTATGAAAGAAAATCAAACATACCCATTTACAGTAAATTATTAAGGCAATCAAACTTCAATAATAGAAGCAAAAGCATAAGACACCACAAGCAAACAAAGAAGAAAACACCGAAGCAAATGACATGGTCCACCCAGTAATGCCAGCCGAACCAGCAGCAAGTGGAAATCAAGAATATTTTCTGAATGATTCCTCTCCAGTCTCCATCAATCAGAAAAACTCCTTTTAGAGTCCCAAAAACAAAACTATATTCACGGACACACGATATGTATATCAATATTGTATGTATATATATACCAATGTATTATTATTATTTTATTTATATATATATACAAATGTATTATAGGAACATTGTATATTTTCATTTTTTCCATTTTCTGAAAAAACCCACATATTGATTGCTCCAAGTTAGGGCTTGAGGTGTCAAGATAGATGAAGGTTTTTGCTACAGTCAACGATCAATCTTCAAAATCCTAAAATAGTATAGAGTTTCAACACTGATGGCAATATAATATAGAGAGAGAAAGTAGAGAGATAAACCTGGAGCTGGAATACTCGAAGAGCTTCCCAGTGGCGGAGAAGATGATTAGCGCAACGTCTGCATCGCAGAGAACGGAGAGCTCCTCAGCCTTCTTGAAAAGCCCTCTTCGCCTCTTGGAGAACGTGACCTGCCTTGCCGTGGCGTTATCGATCTTTCTGATCTGAATCTTTTCTCTCGCCATATATATATATATTACTTGTTTGTTACAGACCAATCAACAGAGACACCTTTGACACAACACAAAAACACAGAATAAACCAGTATACAAATAAATGGAGCTATAGTCACAGAGCTTGTGTGTGGGTTAAGCAATGTTTAGAGGGGACAGGTTTGGGACAAAAAAAGCGGCATTTAGCCAAATTTAGCTTGGATAAGACACAAACCCTAAAGAGAGATGAAAGGGAAGACCCATTTGGCCATTTTTCAGATCCAGACGAAAGACTTCTTAGAAAAACCCACCAATTAGATGCTCTTGGTAGGAAAGAAAGTGAAAAATAGGGATTCGTTAAGTTTGAATTAATTGCTTAGCTTACCTGTTTGGGGTGGGTGGTGGTGCTGTGCTTTGTATGTTGGGTCTGGCGCTTTCTCTGTGGGTGCTTTTCTATGTGTTTGATTTTTGGAGACTCAACAGAGCTGTAAGAGGAAAGGAAAAAGCGACCAATGGAAGAGAGAGAATGTGGAAAAAAAGGAAAGGCATTTTGTGTGTGAAGAAAGGAAGATGTTAGGATGAGGGCGTGCTCACGGTGAGCTCGTTGAATCTATTGATTGACGTGTAGGGTAGGACTGAAAAAGAGAGGTATAGCCTTTTATGGTGAAGCAAGCCCTCTCTTTTTTGTTTATATCGTTTTAGTTGCTGCAAAATGTTAAAAACGAGATCGGACTTCCTACCAAAAGGAGAATAAATATAAAGAAAAAAAAGGGAGGGAGTAATGTTATGATGAGGTTGAATTCATGGACTCTTTCTTTTTGTCATGGTCGATAAATAGGGATGGAAACCTCAGCTTAGTATAGCTTTCTCCATTTCGTCCAAAATTGTTTAAAAGGGAAAATGTGGCTCAAGGGCAAGTTAGGCGCGAGTTTATGTATTACTTTCATAATTGTATTACGATTTTAATGAAAATAAATAATGAAACAAATTTTCTTAATTAAAAATTAAGACTTAATATTATTATAGAAATATTAAAATAATATATAAAAAATCCTAAATAAGGATAATGCAAAATGATATATGGTGATTCAAATAGAATAAGCTATAAGATGCATAATATATATTTAATATTATTAAATATAAAATAAAATATAAAGACAAAATTATAATGTATGCTATAAAGGAGGCAAGTCGGGATGGGTGGCCTTCCTCTATCATGTCCCATAACTATGATGGTTTTTAATCCTAACCCCATTTCCAACCTCAAAACTACTGAACCATATCCATAATTATTCTAAACGAGACTAAGCGAGACAAGTATCCCATTGGATGAAATATTTTGCTATCCCTAATGAAAAATATTAATCATGCATTTAATCATTTGAAAGTGAATTATAGGAATATTATATCGTTAAAATTTCATACCAAAATTGTAGATCACACAAATCAGTCAAATTTTTACATTTCTATTTCTTTTAATTTTATTTAAACAAATAAAACTATCATCTTTGATTATCTAGTATAATTTGATTTTATGGATTTTGATTTGATTTTTTTTACAGTGAAATTATTTTGATATAAGTGATACGATGATATAATTTGTGCATTATTTATTTTTTATTTTTTATTCAAAATGTGCTAATTTTAAATGAAGAATAGGACAATTATTATAAAATCCACCTCATAATAGCATTACCCGAAGATGAAAGGAAATGGCTAACAATGGAAAGGGAATCAAATATAAGACTTAAATTGTGTGGGTTTTCAATACACTTTCTTTTTTTCTTTTTTTAATTTTTTTTTTTATATCCCCCATTGGGGAGCGGACTATTCCGGATAAAGATCAACAAACAACAACAAATTCAAGCATTTATCGGCAAACAAATAAGATAAATTCAAGCATAAGGTGGCAATGCCCCAACGAATTAACTAATTAAGGCTTGAGTAAACAAAACTGTCCGGCATTATGGCTTAATCTCATACGAATAAGGTCTCACAAAATATATATATATATATATATATATATATATATATATATATTTCTGCTCCCATTTTTATAAATTTTCACTCCATTTATCTTTTTTTTTTTTTCAGAAAACAAAAAATGACACAAGTTGATTGTGCCATTTCATTTATATATATATATATTATGTGGATTGCAAAAATGTAACAAGTTGAATGTGTATATCACCTCATTTTAGCTACCTAAATTGTGATAATGTAATAATAAAGTAATGAGCACTTTTGTTTATTTACCGTGGCCATAGTCGTCTTACAACAATTACTTCCGATTTTGATTACTTATAATTTTTCTTTAGTCTTTAGCATGATTAGTTTTTGTTTTGGACCTTTAACATAATATATATCTATATGTATATCTATATATATATACATATATATATGAAAGACCCTAAGCCCATGCCAAATCCAAAATTAATTCAAGTTAGGACATCTTTCACATAAGATGTGTGAGGTGGCAGGGAGGTATGTATTGGTACAAATTTTCCTCCCAAAAATCAAATGTCATTCAAAATAAAATTCCAACTCTGTCAATTGCCAGAAATTAAACACAAACCCTCTTATGATCTTATATAATCTTCTCTTTGTATCCTTGTACGTAATATATACTATATATATATGTATGGAGGTACATACATCTAAAACACACATACACCCGTGCTTATTCAATGGCGCCATTAACGTGTCGTTGCTTGATTAATTTGGCTGGCACATTTATTTTTTATTTTTTTCAGTAAGCATGGTAGCACAAGTTAACTACTCCACGCTCTTTTGCTGTTATCTTCACTGCAACCAGAGCCTTGGATCCTTCTTTCCTGTACTACTAAGTACGAGTATTTTATATTTATACCTAATCTAGATCTATGGGGGAGCCCAAGGCTACAATTACAAGTATTTGACACCTGCTTAACGTCTAACAGTGAACATGTGAGCTGTTGAAAAACACGCCAATTGTATTGGTTTTAATCGTCTAAATTTACAAATGAATGGAGTTATTACTTGTGAATGCAAAAGAGATCCTTGAAAATATGACTCCTCATTTGTGAAGCTATGAGTTCATTCAATATAAATGATAGAAAACAATTACCATAATACATTATAAAAATGTCAAAACAATTTTTTTTAATAATATAGTAACTTTTAACATTATAATGGGTCAAACTCGGTATGTTTTATCGGCTTGTTAACATAATTAGAATATAGCCGTTGTTTATATTACTACCATAATTGCATTATTATAGCCTTAGTCTAGATAATTACTATAATTGTTGTATAGCCTTAGTCTAGATAATTACTATAATTGTTGTATAGCTGTTGGTGATCTCTAGCCTATATATATCTCTCTTTGTACATGTATTACAAACACTTCAATATACAGAATATCTACATTTCATATATCTCTGCCTCTCTCTTTATCTCTCTATTTCTGATAATTAACATGGTATCAGAGTCATGAATTATTGTTATCTTTTTTTATCTTTATATATATATTTTTAATTTGAACAACACCACCTAACCTCACCGCCGGCGCTGCTCTCTGCAACTGCAAACTACAAAATCTACAAAACCCATATATTTCAGAAGTTCTTCCTCTCTGCCACTCTCTCTGCAACAATTTATACAAAACCGATTACCTACATCAACACCCATATCTTTCAGTTTTTCATCGCCGGCTATTCCAGTTCGGGTTCGCGATCTCAGCCGCTGTTCCAGTTCAAGTTCGTGATCTCAGCCGCTGTTCCAGTTCAAGTTCGTGATCTCAGTCGCTGCTACAGATGTTGGGATCCCATTTCCAAACGTCTTCGTATCTCTCGTCATGTCATCTTTTGGGAACACAAAATGTTCTCTTCTCTGTCCAAATTCCATCTATCTTCATCTTCTACTCCTTCCTTTTTTACCGATTCTTCAGTTGAACTTTTCCCAGTCGACACAGATATCATATCCTCATCTGAGATCCCAACCACTACTCCTGATACAACGTCTCTATCTGAGCTCCCACAAATGGCTTTACTTGATGAATATGTTTCATCTGATGTTCATACTACTGAATCTCTATCTGAGCTCCCACAAATGGCCTTAGCTAACGAATCTGTTTCATCTGATGGTCCTGCTACTGAATCTTCTTCATCAGATATCATCGTTACTGCTAAACCTCCTCATCGGGTAAAAAAACCTCCTAGTCATTTACGTGATTTCCAGTGTTTTTCTACTATCATGTCTCATCATGAGCCTTAATCCTACCGCGAGGCTAGTTCTAATCCCCTTTGGCAGCAAGCTATGGCAGAAGAATTACAGGCTCTCGCACAAGCTCAGACCTGGGACATGGTTGCTTCTCCCTATGACAAAACTGTTGTTGGCTGTAAATGGGTTTACAAAATCAAAACTCATTCTGATGGTTCTGTGGAACGATACAAAGCTCGTCTTGTTGCAAAGGGTTTCACCCAAGAATATGGCATTAACTATGAGGAAACATTTGCCCCTGTTGCTCGACTTACTTCTGTCCGTAACCTATTGGCTGTGGCAGTAGCCCGCAAATGGACATTGTTTCAAATGGATGTGAAAAATGCATTTCTCAATGGCGATCTCACTGAAGAAGTATATATGAAACCCCCTCCAGGATATAACCATTCTCCACACCAAGTTTGTAAACTCCGTCGAGCACTATATGGTCTTAAACAAGCTCCAAGGGCGTGGTTTGCAAAATTCAGTGCTACAATTGGAGATTTTGGATTTACTTCAAGCTCATATGATTCCAGTCTTTTCATCCGCAAGACTGACTCTAGTATTACTCTTCTTTTACTTTATGTTGATGACATGATAATTACTGGAAATGATCTTGCAGGTATCTCTGCACTCAAAAATTTTCTTAGTCATCATTTTGATATGAATGATCTTGGGCACCTCAGTTATTTCCTAGGCTTAGAGATTCTCTCTGATTCGGATGGCTATTATCTCTCCCAAGCCAAGTATTCCTCTGACATTCTTGCTCATGCTGGACTCACGGATTACAAAACAGCTCCCACTCCACTTGAGACCAATGTCAAGCTCACTCCTCTAGATGGTACACTCCTCAGTAATGCTACATTGTATCGACAGTTGGTTGGCAGTTTAGTATACCTTACTGTTACTCGACCTAACATCGCTTATGCCGTGCATCTTGTTAGCCAGTTCTTATCTGCACCTCGATCTACTCATTATACTGCTGTATTACGCATCATTCGATACATTAAAGGGACTATGTTTCAAGGCCTTCATTTTTCTTCTCATTCTTCACTTGATTTACGTGCCTACTCTGATGCTGATTGGGCAGGTGATCCGACTGACCGACGTTCCACTACTGGCTACTGTTTTTTCCTTGGG